CTAAGCTGCTACTATTTTTTAGTATTTGTGTGAATCATTAGTTTCGTAGAATATTAGTGTCAATTTCATTTTTACATTTGAGAGTTCGAAATTTCTGTTTAAGAAAATCTTTTGTTCATTTATTAGAAAATTTTCTATCATCTTTCGCTTTCCCGTGCAAGCTCATCTTTCTCACATCTATGATTTGCTAGTTAAGTAATAATCCTTTTGTTTTCTCTTAAATTTTACTTCTACTGTGAATAAATCAATTATTTGATCAATATGTGTTCGAATAGTATGTGGATCAAATTTAACCATATCAATAATAAATGTTATCATTTTTTTAGCATCTGCATTATCAGCTTGTGCTGTAACAAAATTTGTTTGACAAATTTCTCTAAATTAAAAAATTAATATTTCAAAGAAAAAAGGAAAATTAATAAATAAAACAAACTTTAATAATTCAATAGATAATGATATATCTTGATAATCAGTCAAAAGTAAATTAAGAACAGTAATAAATAAAATTGAATTACTATCATAAAGTTTTACTGCTTGAATAAATTGAATAGAAACTTCTGAATTATAGAAAATAAAATTCGAATAAGAAAATTATTTTTTATTTATTCTTGTTTTAATTTACGTCGTGCATGTTTCAATTTATTAATCATTATAATAAGTATTAATGAAATATTTTCTTTAACAATAAAATTTTTAGCAATATCTTGTCGACAAAATAAATGATAACATAGTTTACTTACACATCTGTAAAGAGTATATCGATTTTAATAAATATTAAAAAAAGAAAAGAAAAGAGAATATAATTTTTGTACTAGATAAATTGTTCATCGATTATTTGATGAATTTCATAATGTTTTAATATGTGATCGAAGAATATCACAAAGATCTTTTAAACATTTATCTTTTAATGCATCAAATGTTAAAATAGATTTTCCACTACTTTCTACTTCTTTAACTTTTTTTTTACCTTTCTATAACAAAAAATTAAATTCTTTTAATTAAATCAACGAATATACATTTGATACAGGCATATCAAAATCTGATGATTTATTTCATTCATCATTATCAAATCGAATAAAATATTTAACAAGAAGAGATGAAAACATTTTAACAATATTTAAATGAAAACATCGATCATCAGCTGAAAGATCAATATGAATTCGTTGCTGAGCTTCTGACATTACACTTGCCGTTACTAATTTAATATATAGCAAATAAATATATACATATAATAAACTGATTTTCTTACATCGAAGTAATATTTCAACTGTTTGAGAGAACATTCATTAATTGAAGCTTTATCAAAATAACTAATTTTTAAAAAATAATTTTATTGAAAAAATATAAGAAAAAAAAATCTTTTCACATAGCAATATTATTATATAGGATGTTCAGAAATTCACTAGACAAAGAAAAATTTCAATATTTTCGCCATATTTCGATCATATGGGCTAATATTGTTACCACTGATAAAGTAATGTTCATAGGTCATTTTCATAAGAAAAACGTTGTTAAAAATCCTTTGAAAGTATTTACAATTGATTTTAACAAAGAACTGCAACCTTTCACAAGTTATGAAAAACCATATATTTATTTCCTTATTCAAGAATAAACAACATCTAATTATTTGAATTAATGGCTCATACTAGTGTCGTTTGGGATCTTATTAATACTACAGACATTTGTCTTGCTACTTAGTGTGCCATGAAAGCTTCAGCCATAAACAGCAAGAATCTGTTGACAAAACCACAATATTAATTTTTGCATAACTTATGATGAAATGTTATAGATCTTATGTTGAAGCCAGTTGTACTACTTGAAAACAATTTTTGAGAACATTTCTCTTATAAATATGAATTATGAACACTCCTTTATCGATGATAAAAATATCAGCCCGTATGATCGAAATATGACGAAGATATTCAAATTTTTCTTTGCCTAGTAAATTCCTGGACACCTTATATATTCTTTTCCTTGTCTATTAAAAAATTCTTTTTGAACGTTTAGTACATTTATCAACAATATTTTCATATGAATTTTCCAGTAAATGACAAAAAAACTTCTACAAACAAAAGACAAAATTTTATTTATTTTAATATAAAGTTTGTGTTACTTGACAAGACATTTTCTTAAAGATGTATTTAGTAGATCAGTTGATGATGAAATAATTAAAAGATCAATTAATTGTTAAGATAAAATACTAACTGATAATATGCTAACAAATTCTTTTATCAGTCTGTTCTGTATAATCAAGATATGAAAACCGTCATTCGATTAAACTGTTAAAAGTCGAATAATGGGAAATACATTTATTATTATTTATGCATTTATCGTAACTTTCAAACTATATATTTCATTAAAAAACTTTCAATTGAATTATTTAATTGTATCAAAATTAGAAAAACTATCTAAAGAATCATATCGATTGTTTTTCTTCATTCTTCGTTTCTTCTATAATTTTCGTTCTTGATGTCATCAATACTATTTATTTTATCAGATGTTGATTCGGATGACATCGTCGATGAACGCTTGACCTTATAATTCAATTGGCAATTGAATACGCACTCAGTCACAATGATCGTCCGCGGTAGTTGTTGTATAACTTGATGAGAGAATGAAAAATGATAAACGTTAGAGAAAATATATAAAGAAGAGTAGTGATGTTGTGACTGTCATCACATAAATACAGCAATGATACCAACACATTTTATGTTATTACCTGATATCGTGTTGCTTGAAATCTTCTCATATTTATCTTGTGAAGATGTTTTGTACGCTTTCGGTGATTTACACGACTTTCATCTTCTTGATTTACTTACAGAACACGGAGCATTTCGACACATTTGTCTTTCCTCACAATTGTCTCGTCATCAGTATGAAGTTCTTTCAAAAGACATTTGGCGTTATAATTTGGTTCGCTCATTGGTATGCAAAGAAATGTTCTCTGACTATATTATTTATTTTACACCTTGTCAAATATTTACTTCATTGACTGAATTGCGAGTATTTTTTTTACGTTGTCTAACTGATGATCTCGCAGAATTCGTTATTGCACACTCTTCTACACTCACGCATTTATCAGTTAAGAGAAGCGAGCAATCGTATATACCAGAAAATTTTCGAACATTTTTCTATACCGTCTTACCTCGTCTTAGTCGACTCAACTTACTTGATACGGACTTAAGAAGTTATGTATGGGTATGATATATTAATAATGATATACAAAAGAACAATATTATTCATTTTTAGATTCAGTGGAATCGATTAACAAATTGTCTGCAATCACTAGAGCACTGATCTACATACGTGGAAAGTATGTCTGATGTATATGTATTGGCGGTAGATGGATTTTTTCCTCGTCTACAGTCGCTTCGCATTTATGTTCATAAATGAGTGATAAAAACAGTTTCAACTGGACTTCCAGCTATTGCAAACCTTCATATGCCAAATTTGGAAACATTCGATTTATATCTAAAAAAGCGAGGAGAAACAAATGAAGGAGAAGAACAAGTCAAATGGGCAACTGTGGAGATATTAACCTCTCACTCTGTCATGCCTCGTCTTCGACGATATTCTTTGATCTACAGTTTATTAACGAGTGTTGAAATTCGACATATATTGCAATCGTCTCTTTTCAATAATGATAATAGACATATTCGTGTTCAGTTTGCACTTTATATTAACTTATCGACTTCCACAGATTCATCTGATATTACTAATATATGCGACATTCATTCTACACGTTACAATAACATTTTTGTGCAATATGTGAGTATTTTTCCGTTCTAGTTATAGAAATAAATGTTGAATTTAATATTTTCGTTCTAGAATGATGAAGATAAATCAAAATTACACTACTTGGTTTACTTGATCATGGCCAAGTTGGACAATATTTTGGATGAACCATCATAATGTAGCACCGCGCAGTGGCGTCCATCAGCTAGGAATCAAATCTCCAAATATTTCATTACACTCACTTGGTAAATTATGTTTTGACGCTAATAAATTAGTGTTTCTACATCCTGCATCACTTTCCATGGTTGATTCATCACTTATGGCGCAAGCACCACCATTAATCAATTTACGCTATTTGATAATACACAATGTCGTTCCGGGATTGGAACTTCTTTTTGATGGTAATATGCTTCCTCGTTTACATTCTCTTCGTGGACTCGCCGTACCACTATTCGTTGCATTCGCACGTCGAACGAATCAAATGAAAACTCTTGAAACCGTTGATCATTTGGTGATTACAGATCAATCAGATAATGAAGAAAGGTGCTTCTCGTTCAAACAGTGGCATATAGTGCTTGATGCCCTTCCTCGCTTGAGAACGCTACTCGTTCAACTTCATAATGGAAAGTGTCCGCCAATGTCAATGGCAGATCTATTTGTTAATTATATAAAACGAACAACTCGGACACCTCTCACTCTTTTTTCTTGTTGTATCGATCATAATAAAGATGCCAACAATAAAGAAAATTTTATCATATACTTACAGGAAAAAATCGAAATGGTATGTTCTTCTGTTCAATTTGCATTCATCAGTCCGACAAGAATTGATGCGTGGATGTAATTAATATTCTTGTTTGTTTCTAATAAATATGTTAAAGTATAAGTTATCTTGTTCTGAAATAATAAAAATTCCTTCTTAAAGAATTTTTGATCACTGAAGATTTTTTCAAAACTGGATACCAGTTTTGAATAATTGTTTGTTTGCGAGATTTCTAAGAAAATAATTGCATAAAATTTAATATTTCAATTCATATATATTTAATTCAGAAAAGAACATTCTCATGCAAACTCTATAAGTAAGTATAATGTCAATGATTTTTTTTAAACGAAACTACATAGTATTCGATACAATAGTCTTTGGAAGCATGTCGAGATCATTTCTAATCAGTCAAGCATCGAGTCAATCTGAACTATTTTTTTATCTGAAAGAGTAATGTCTGAAAAATGAAAAAGGTCATAATTCAGGCAAATTTTTTATTTTTGCTTTGATAAAATTTAAATACGAAGCAACATTCAAAATATCTTTACAACCTATGGTTTTTCGACGTTTTCAATAATTGACTTCGCAATTTCGTCTGTTTCAAACTTAGAATTAAACTTATCTACAAATAGAGCCTTTCAGTTCCTACCATTTCATCTATTTCAAATTCTTTTTTTTTGTGATTACATTGTCGATTAGAGAATTTACTTTTGTATTGTTTCTTCTCCTTGATTATCAGTTTAATAAAAGTTGTGTAATAGAAAAAAATAATGAGTAGGAAAAAGCTCTGAGATGTAAACAGAAACTTTTCGAAGTTTATACATTAAACACAGTTTTTCTAGCTCTATCTAATGCTATACTTTGGTTACGACTCATAGGTATTGGAGTGTAATAAGTATTGTTTAATAGTCTTACTTCAACCAAATCAAAAATTATTGTTTCTGTAGTAACAATTATTGCTAATGTACGCGCTTGTGCTACTGCTGTAAGTTTACCATCTATTGTTTTGATTATGTTTTGATCATCGAGTTCATCGTATAAGTAATAATTGATTTTGTCTTATTTGTTTCGATACTTATAATAATTCATCATGTTTTATTCGTATTTAATTAACCTTTACTAATATAAGTGTTTCAATATGTTCATCACAGACATGTATTGACCGTGAAGCATAATTTCGTACATCAATGATAACTGCTTTATATCCATTCTTTGGAGATACACTTGATCTAACGTAAATAGAAATCTGAGTGAAACAGCTCTCGGTTTGACGTCTCCGACTTAAACAATGTCATGAACAGATACTTATTCATTAGCTTTTACTTCTACCAATCAACAATATGTTAATATTCCATATGTGAATTTAGAAAAACAAAGTTTAACAGTAGAAATGTGGCTTTCTCCACTAGAGGTGTAAGCCGGCAGGTCGATCGGCAGCGGCGCTGAAAAATTTTTAATTTTTTCAAATCTTCGGCGGCTGCTGATTTGAGTCTGTAGGCTCTTCAGTGGCGGCGGCTGTAAAAAATAATTTTTTTAATGTTCACGGTGGCGGCTGGCAATTTCGAAATTGAATAATTCCTTAGATGATAAGAAATACCTGTTTATTTCAATATCTTATTACTAATAATTTCAAAAACCTAAATGAAATAATTGTACTTCGCACGTTAGTCTAATTAAGACATTCTAAGTAGGCAATATGGAGGGGAGTAATGAATTACTACTCAGCTTTGCCCGAGCTGTTGTTTTAATTCTGCAGCTTTTGTTGTATAGAGGCTTGAAGAAAAGAGGAAGAGTATATACTAATTTGTTGGTTTGGTTTGCTGAGTTTCTATCACTTTATGGATTGCCAATAAGGGATTTATCATATTGCCTGTGCCTCATGCATCACTGTAAACGCTACGTCTTTTTTGATTGAGGATGAACTACCATATATTTGTTCAGATTTTCACTTATCGGTGCAAATTTTGCAATAAACTTATTGAATATATAACATTTTATTCGCTCTTTTGTGTATGTGACGCGAATGACAGCAAACAAATTTTCTATTATCGTTTTAGTACATTCAGCGGCTTTATTAGAGTAAAAAGACTTTTATTAAAATATGAAAACTCGTTATAACGGGTAATAAATTCAGATACACATCAAATTCAAACCATCAACATTAATCAAAGTGCTGCATACTTCTATTGTTCCGGATACAGACTATTAATGCTTCGTAAATATAAACAACCGAAAAAGTTAAGAAGAAATTTAGCGATTCAAAAATAAATGAAAATAGATAAAAAAGCGATTTTCGCATTCCGATTTCGGCGGCGGTTCAAAGTTTCAAAAATTTTTCTTAGTAACGACGGCGCAGCGGCTGCACATGCTGTTGCTCAGCGGCGGCGGCTTAGAAATTCTTAAAATTTTTCTCTCCACGGCGGTTCAGCCGCACCGCTTACACCTCTATTCGCCACCCAACAATGCAGGTCAAATGTATTGTGGTTTATTTGGTTAATGTAGATCAGACTTACTTTGTCTTTCATTGAGTATATACGTAATGGTCTTGTGACGGAATCATTTCATTCACTCAACAATAATAGTGCTAAATTAACTGACTCTAGTATTCTAAGCAATGGCAATTGAGCTCATGTAACAGTTGTATATGATACAGTTCAATTTTGAATCAATGATTTACGTGAATGATTGAATTGATTCTGTATCGACCAGTATAGTATATCCTTATCAAGGTACATCAACTGGTGAAACAAGAGATTACAGTGTCCTCATTATTAAGATATCAACCATCGTTTTTCAACGGGTATGATATGTATAAGCTTAGTGAGACAAGTTTTAACAGAGTAAACTACTTATTTATCGAAGATGTTAATCGATGAAATGTATGATCTGTTAAAAATTCCTAGTTTTTTTTCTGATAAAATGGCTCTGATTTTCTGAAAAGAGAAAGTATATATGTTAATCAGTATATTTAGATCTTACAAACATTTTGTTTTTCTGACGAAAATTTTCATGATGTATCTTATGATTTTGAAAAAGGACTGTTATATAGCAATCGTTTGTAAGAATTATAAGAGATTTTTTGCTTATGAGTTTGAATGTTTTAAAATCCAAAAATAGATCAATACACCAGTAACCAGCATAATAAGAGAAGTTAATAGTGTGGATTGATTGGTCTACTTTGCATGCATTAATAAATATAGACAAGCAACTATGAGTGACGTTGCAGAATGCTATGCCAAAATCGATCACTAGAAAAACTTGTTAAAAACTACGCGTATAGAATGACATTGAAGGGTGTGGGTGTGGGTGTGGGTGTGGGTGTGGGTGTAAAGAAAGCCCACCCATATACCAACATTCGCCACACCCACACCCGAGTAATTCAACTTATCACTAAGAAAAATATATCTATCATCAAGACTTTGATTTTAATGAATCACTTTAATAAAGTTTTTATTTCGAAGTATCATCGTTTGATAAAATGAATTTTGATAATGATTAGTAATACCCTCTATAATTCATATCAATATGTAAAAGAATTTATATCTTAAATGGTTTATTTCATTGAGACAACTTGATACATTTATGATTCGTATTTTTTGACTTAAATTACATCCGAAATCCGATATTTAGGAGGTGGTAGCTGTAGAAAATCTGATTGGTTGATATACATATAAATTATTCTTAGTACTGATCAATATTCGATTTTCAATCTCTGATAATAAACGAACCAATGTCAAAGACAACAAAAGCATCAAAACAAATCAGTTATTTAACTGACAAACAATGTTCGACGTTAGATACTGAAAATCTCAAATCAGATACACAAGTTGATGATATTGTTTTACAGATTAAAAGATCAACATATTCTTTTGTATGTATATAATATGATAGAATTTATTTCTAGTCGAAAGATTCATCAATTCATACTCAACCATTTGCTGATAATACTCAACAATCATTGTCATTAACAACAAATAATGACACACCAATACCATTACAAAAAAAAGAAGAAGAAATGCTAATGATAAATGTGCACTTCAAATTCAGCAACGTAGTCGATTTGAAACAAAATTCAAGACAGTAAGCCTCTATTCGTGATTTTGTATAAAATCAAATTTCTTTTTATTCTTTTTTAAATTGCAACACTTACAGAAAAGAAAGTTCTTGCATCTTTAATACTATGGACTCATTCATCAAAATTTGATTATAATAAATTACATGCATCTAATAACGATTCTCCCGAAATTGATCAATTAACAAATGCAGTATCAGATGATGATATTAATGTTGAAGAAAGTTATTCATATGTTGATATTAAATCTCAAGAAAGCTCTTCAAATATAGATAATAAACTCGAAAAAAGTTATTCAAATGTTGTTGAAAAACAACGGGATGGTGCCGAACTTCTATGCAACGACAGCCCATGTCGCAAAAACCGGATCATTTTTAGCGGTAAGCTGCAGTTTACCAGCTAGGAGCCGATAAATCGAACAAAACCTGCGGTTTACCGCGGTAAATCGGAAAAAAGTACCGGTAAACCGCCGGTTTTCACTACATGGAAATCTTGGTAAATCTTTAAATTATAAATACAATTGACTGTTAGAAACTACTAATATATCATGTTTCATTTTTTTTAGCGATGCATTAAAATAAAACTGTTCATGGGTGGGGTGTGTGGGATGTGCGTGGGTGAGTGTGGGTGTGGGCGTTGGTTTTTGTGTAGAGAGCACCCACACCCACACACCCACACCTTCTACGGGATTAGAACGTGAAACATGATATAGGTACTCTTTCTAATTACAGGGAGATAACTTTATTCTATGCATCTCAGAACACATTTCTTCATCTCTNCAATTGTATATCAATATTTCTAACGATCTGTAATGCTTTCTCAAGTCGTCTTCTATGCTCTGTGATGAGGAGAAGAAAAGAAAATGCAACTGTGTACCACTATACACTTCAACACTCCTTTTAGATAGTGTTTCACAAAAAACAGATTTGTCACATCTGGAGAAAAATCAGACGACTTTTATCGAAATCAAGAATCTATTTAGCTATCTTGTTTCGAATGAAACTAAAAATTATATTCTCAAAAGTGATAGATATTTTCTTGTCTAGTTAGTGA